AATGTAGAACAAAATTCTAACTCACAAAAAAAGACCAGACTTACTGGCCTGACAGAGACTGGAGAAACCCTGAGAATATGGCCCCTGGACACCCTTTTAGCTCAGTAATGAAGTCACTCCTGAGGGTCACCATTCAGCCAAAGATTAGACAGCCCCATAAAACAAAATGAGAGTAATGGGGCACAACAGTCCAGGGACAAGCACTAGAAGGCAGGAGGGGACAGGAAAGCTGGTAATAGGTAACCCAAGGTTGAGAAGGGACAGTGTTGACATGTTGTGGGTTTGTTAACCATTGTCATAAAACAATATGTGTACTAACTGCTTAATGAGAAACTATTTGTTCTGTAAACCTTCATCTAAAGTACAATAAAAAGAAAAGAAAGTCACATCTGGGCTTAGCTGCATTTAGAGGGGGGAATCAGCTCCTTAAAAAAAAAAGTCAGATATTATTTCTCAATTCAATAAACAACTCAACTCATAATGTAAAAAAACAAACTATAAATATCATCAAAGTATTTACATTATAGAAAACTAGGGCAGACATCTCAAAATGCATTCTAGATTTATCAACTTTGCACACGTATTTTGGGAGGATTTTGAGAGATTTCAAAGTAATATGTAAAAATGACCAACGATTTATTTTAGTAGAAAAAGATTCCCTGCTTCTGGCAGCTGACTAGAACTATGGGCTGATACTGTTTTGATTTTAAAATGTATATGTGCATAATTTTCATGTGAAAATCCGTAAGAGTGCAACCCATTGAGGTGTAATGGTTATTTACAACATAAATTCTGCCGTTTGTCCCAGTCCAAAGATGCCAGACTGGTAAGTTACCCATGTTGGCTAATAAGTTCACATAACATGTTTTGTTTTATATGCTCTAACCATTTATTAAAGAAAATGGGAGTTTCTAAGAGCTAGCATTTTTCTACATTTGAAATTTGAGAAAAACAAGAGACTCGTGTTCTATAGTATACATTATTACAAAAGAGTTAATTATAAACTCAGCACAGTTAAAACACCTTCTCAGTGTGCAGTATTCCCTAGTGATTAGGATTCATCATCATTTAGTGAAGCGTGGTGGCATTTTTCTTGTGGAAAAGTCAGTTTTGTGCATCAGAGGAGATGTATTACTAACACAACCTTCCCTTCACTCAGCCCCGTCCATCAGAGAGTTTCTTATACTAATAGAACAAGTGGAAGTCCATGTCTCTATTTTGGTTCCCAAGTCAAGTGTAAATTCTTTTAATCTAGGAAGCAGCTCAAATATATATGTACCAAAGGGTGGAAGTTGTTTTTAGCACCCTCTTTACTCACACCCTACTCATACAGTCCAGGTTTTCTGGGTGGTTTTGCTCACGTGCTGTTACTGTGCGTGTAGCTATCGTGAGTGCGAATGTGTGGGAGATTTGTTGAATAATGTACAGCACCCAGTGGAAAGAGCAACAGGCCCCCGGAATTTGAATTACTCCTCTTCCAGTCTCTGAAAGCAAATGATTACTTGTGCCTTGCGGAATCCGGGGGCTCTATCCCCAGGTGCAAAGTACATTTTCCAGGTTTCTCTAAGGCAAAAGCAGGGTGAACGCCCTCATTAAACCTGTGCCTAATGGTGAAGAGCAACTGCCCACTTTCGGCATTTATGAATAGAAGTCTCTGGTTGTTGCAGTCCAGCAGAATGCCCACTCTGGCTGGGTGCTCAGTCACATGAACGTCACTCACAATGCCACTGTAGAAAAACGTGTATCTGAAATGAAACAAAAGGGAAGTAGAAACTTTAGACATCTTGAAGGAACACGATAAAGAAAATCACTCGGAAATAACCAATTGTTCAGTTATTAACTTTAATTTACAATAATGAGTTACAATAATGCTGTCCAAAATACTTAACCAGATCCCTCCTAGCTGCTAAAATGCGCAGCTCATCCCAACAGACAAGCATTCTTAGTAATTTTGCTCCTTCTACATTAAGAGGCAATCCCAGAATAACCAACATATGCCTCCCTTGTGATTTTTCTCAACATTCTAATTTTTTCCCAGCTGCCCACATGTTTTAACTACTGCATTCATGGCGTGTCATTCTTTTGAATAAAACTCCTTTGAGGCTGCCATGTATTTTAAAAAGTGCCACAGGCTTGCCTTCCATACAATATATTAATTTTACAGTTTAAAAAATTTACACGTAACTTACATAAGGGCCTTTATAAAGTTTAAAAAAGATTTTATTATCTTTTGGGTATACTCCTTCTACTCCTAAACACCTTTCTTTTCAAGAAGGATTGTCTTTGATTCTGTCTTTGATTCAGATCAATTTAATTCAACAAGTATTCATTGAACATATTTAAGGGTCCAGCACATTACTAAGTACTCCAGGGTGGATGAGGGACTATAAAATACTGTCCTTGCCCTCTCTCTGGGAACCCATACTGTATGGAGCAGGAAGGATTAAGTTGTTAATGACTTAGACATGGACTGTTGTTGTTGTTGTTAGGTGCAGTTGCGTCGGTTCTGACCCATAGTGACCGTATGTACAACAGAACAAAACACTGCCCAATCCTGCACCATCCTCACAGTCATTGTTATGCTTAAGCTCATTGAGGGTCTTCCTCTTTTTCACTGACCCTCTACTTTACCAAGCATGGGCTAGGAGTAAGAATTCATCTTAGGCACAGATTGTTTAAACGTTTATTAAACACACTTAATGGACCTTTTTCGATTGTGAAAGAAAGATTCAAGGCCAGGCTTGGATGGAGAAATTGCTGAACCAAGTACCTAAATTGCACTGTCCCACAAATTTGGTATTTTCTCCCTGCAGTCTTAGAAACTGAGGGTGGGGTCCTGAAACCAGAGGAAGGGAAGAAATGAGAGATGGAAGAGAAGAAAAGAAATGAGAGAAAGGTCTATGGATATGGCAGGGATGCGAGGTGGACGACACAGCAACATTGGGCAGTCTGGGGTCTACGAATCCAGGTAAGTGACTCTGGAATGGCAGGGAAGGCCAAGGACCTTTAAGACCTGTGATGTCTGTCTTAAAGGCCCAGAAGCTTGAGTACAGGTGAATTTAGGGGAAGGCAATTTGGCAACTTCATTGCAGAATGAAACTCAAACAGCGGGGCAGTGGTTCATGGGGACAGGAAGATAAGTGAGACTTAAACAATGATAAAGGACCTTTTCAATGGCTTGCTAACAAGAGAGATGAAGGAACGTTATGAAGTGCTGGGACCTGTAGGGCAGGCAAATGTTGCAGGTGGCAATGATGGGGCTCTTGTAGAAGGCTTCCTGGAGCAGATGGGCTCATACTCAGCCATAAAGAATAGGCAGGACTGGATAGTGGAAAAGGTGGAGAAGAGGTCCAAAGTGGGGGGGGGGGGGAGCAGCAGAAACAATGCTGCATACAGGCAAAGTAAGCCTGTATATTTTAGAGAACATCACCATCTGCCTGACAGGTTTGGAGGGACATGGGAGTGACCTTTAAGATATTACACAGAGAAGTAAGTCAGGGGCCAGGCTCTAGATCTGCCCTGTTCAATACGGTAGCCACTAGCCACATGTGGATATTTAAATTAATCTAATTAAAATTAAAACTCAGTTCCTCAATCCCACTAGCCACATTTCAAAGGTTCAATAGCCACAGATGACACAATTTTTCAATTTCTGCAGAATGTTCTATTACACAGGGCTGCTTTGGAGGGCTCTAAATGCCCAAATGTGCTATTTCCTCCCCGTGCTTAGAAAGTCCCTGGTGTCAGATGTCCTGTCCTGGTCAGCCCCTGAGCCAATCCCCACCATGGAGGGAGACACTCCTTGAGGCCTTGGCTCCACCAGTTCCACAGGACCTGGAGTCTACCCTGCCCTGTTTGTGCTTTGTTTCCTACTAAGCACAGCAGTTCCTCCATTAACCTGAACTCTGCCCTGAAACCAGGGTTTTGAACTGTTTCTGCCCGGTTCAGTCATTGCCGACAAAGTGAAACTTGAAGAGACCTGAATTTTTAAAATGTGGATGAAGCAGAATGATAAAAAGAATGGGAAAAATTAAGGGTGAAACCCCTGCTAGAAACTCAATCTCCCTTTTAGGAAACAAAGGTAGCCCGCGCATTGCATAGCAACCAAATCTCTTGACGGGGAACAGTCGGACACAGTGGCGCCCCACTCAAAGATGGCGTCCAACTGCGCCGGTTAGAATCTGTGTCGCTCTCCACAGCCCTGGCAATAATCCAATCTCCTGCATCAGGCTCTTGAAAGGGCCCACTGTACCTCTTCCAAGTCTCCCATTTCAGGACTTCAGCCCGTAATTTTTCCGTTCTGCTTATCATTCAGCTTCACCCAAAAAAAAATTTTTTTAGAGTGTTTTTTTTTTAATTGTGCTTTAAGTGAAAGTTTACAGGTCAGGTCAGCTTCTCATACAAAAATTTATACACAAATTGCTATGTGACCCTAGCTGCTCTCCCTATAATGTGACAGCACACTCCTCCTTTCCGTTCCAGATTTCTCGTGTCCATTCAACCAGCTCCTGCCCGTTTTTGCCTTCTTATCTCACCTCCGGCCAGGAGCTGCCCATTTGGTCTCATGTATGTGCTTGAGCTAAGAAGCACTCTCTTCACGAGTATCATTTTATATCCCATAGTCCAGTCTAACCTTTGTCTAAAGAGTTGGCTTTGGGAATGGTATCAGTTCTGGGCTAACAGTGCGTCCAGGGACCATGTCTTCCAGGGTCCCTCCAGTTTCAATCAGACCATTAAGTCTGACCTTTTTACTAGAATCTGAGTTCTGCACTCCACTTTTCTCCTGCTCCATCAGGGACTCTCTGTTGTGTTCCCTGTCAGGGCAGTCATTGGTGGTAGCCAGGCACTGTCTAGTTCTTCTGGTCTCAGGCTGATGAAGTCTCTGGTTTATGTGGCCCTTTCTGTCTCTTGGGCTAATACTTCCCTTGTGTCTTTGGTGTTCTTCATTCCCTTTGCTCCAGATGGGTTGGGACCAATGAATGTATCTTAGATGGCCGCTCACTGACTTTTAACTCCAGATGCCACTCACCAAAGTGGGATGCAGAACATTTTCTTAATAAACTTTGTTTTGCCAACTGACCTAGATGTCCCCCGAAGCCATGGTCCCCAGGCCTTTGCCCCTGCTACTCTATCCCTCGAAATGTTTAGTTGTATTCAGTAAACTTCTTAGCTTTTGGTTTAGTCCAGTTGTGCTAACTTCCCCTGTAGTGTGTGTTGTCCTTCCTTTCACCTAAGATAATTCTTACCTACTGTCTAGTTAGTGAATATCCCTCCCCTTCCCCACCCCTTGTAACCATCAAAGAATGTTTTCTTCTATGTTTAAACCGTTTCTTGAGTTCTTACAATAGTGGTCTCATACAATATTTGTCCTTTTGCAACTGACTAATTTCACTCAGCATAATGCCTTCCAGATTCATCCATGTTATGTTTCATGGATTCATCAATTGTTCTTTATCATTGCATAGTATTCCATTGTGTGAATATACCATAATACGTTTATCCATTCATCTGTTGATGGGCACCTAGGTTGTTTCCATCTTTTTGCTATTGTGAACAGTGCTGCAGTGAACATGGGTGTGCATATTTCTATTCGTGCTTCACTCAAATTTTAAAAATTCAAGTCTGTTTCGATTTCACTTCATTAGCCATGACTGAACTGGTTTGAACCGATTTGAAACCCACCTGAAACCAAGTCTGTTTGCCTGGGGCCTGACTCCCCACCCAGCTTTTGCCCACCTTTCCTTGGGACTGCTAGTCCCTGTTTAACCATGGTCCATCCAGAAGTCTGACTCTTGACTCCTGTGGAACTGGAACTGCCTGTCCTGGAACCCTATCCCCAGACTGAACGCACCCCTCACTGCTGGCCCAGATTGAGCCCAGACCCGTTTGGACACCGGTGGCTGCTCTCCCTGAGGGCTCCTCAGCCTCAGCCTGGTCCCCCCTTTACTGTGCCCCAAAGTTAGTCCCACCTGCTGACACCACTGTAGATTTTTGAGCAGAAAAGGAAGGGACACAATGAAATGATGCTTCAGAAGTATTTGCCAGTTGTGACACATAGAGACCAGAAGCAAAGATACAGGCGTGGCGGCTATTGCAGAAACTGCTAAAGGAGGTGAGGAGGCTTGAGCTAGGGTGGTAGGGTTAGGAATGGACAGGAAGAAACAAGTCCAAATCCAGTTGATTCTTCCTCCTCAGACCCTCTTCTTTTATCCTTTCCTATTGTAACATCTTAACGCTCAGATTCTGTGGGAACAGAATCAAGAGTAATACATCTTGGTTTAAAATCATTAATCCAGAAAAAGTGAAAAATAATAGGAGGGTCTGCTGCAACTGTGCTCTCAGCTTACTGAAGGCCAGGGGTGCCTGAGGTCCCTTGAACACAGAATGAAGAGACCTGAAACCTCTTCCAGCATCTAGGAACCTACCCTGGGCTGGAAAGAACCTAAGACCACAGTTGTAGATTGAACTGTCCACACACTATACAATTCTATTTTCTAGAGTCTCCTTGTTGTTAGCTGCTGTCAAGTCACTTCTGACTCATGGCAACCCCATGTGTGCAGAGTAGAACTGCTCCATAGGATTTTCAAGGCTGTAATCTTTCAGAAGCAGCTCACCAGGCCTGTCTCCCAAGGTGCCTATGGGTGGGTTCAAACAGCCAGCCTTTTGGCTAGTAGTCAAGCACTTGGAGGCTAGTCTTTGGGTTAGGTTCTTAGGGGTTCAAGTGTCTAAGGAACTTATCATGAAATCAAAACCTAGTTTCCAGCTCTAAAATCTACTGATTATAAGCTCTGAGTTTGAGTGACCTTAAACTCTGGGCAGGCGCTTGGTCCTTAAGCATTGCACAGCACTGAATAGTAATCATAATTGCTCTGACTTGATGAAATGTGACTTTAAATAGCACTTGGAGATGGCATCCTTATGAACCATCTCAGAGAATCAAGCTCTGGCAAGGAGGATGCAGGGAGAAATGTGCAGCCAGAGATATGCAAAATCCCAATCTGTGGGCCTTCTTCTGGGAACTTGCAAGGACTGAAGTCTCCCTTTTTAAAGCACTGCATTTGAATAATGCTGCACATTTGTTTGATACTTTACAACTTCAGAGCTCTCCCCAGAACCGAATTTCATGCAGTCCTTTGGCTGTAACCCCAGAGGTAGCAGGCCAGGAATTATTGTCTCCTGCTAAAATAGCAAGGCCTGTAAGATAGGCTCAAAGGGTTAATCAGCTTATGGTGAGCAGTCAATAGAAGGCTAGCCCAGGATGGAGCCAGGACTAAACTCAAGTTTCAGGCTTTCAGTCCAGTGCTTTTTCTACTACACCATTCTGCAATCATATTCAGATTATAACATGCTTGCCTTATCACTTTGAAATTAACACAGTTTAATCTTTTTTTTTTTTTTATTGTACTTCAGGTGAAGGTTTACAGAACAAATAGTTTCTCATGAAACAGTAGTACACATATTGTTTTATGACA